TTGATTGATTGATTGATTGATTAGAATAAATATTCATAATTTGCGTTAGAAAATGCAGTTGCCAAGGTATTAGATTTCATGATACATTTATTTGTATACTATGGCTGTTAGGCGCTGAGAATTTAATCCGTTCGTCAGAAATCCTATGAAATATTCACCAGAAAGCAAGATGAACGGAGATGTTAGGAACTAAATCTCTTTGACTGCAATTAGTGTTTATGTTTCTGCCCCAGTTTTATACGTAATTACATCGTTTATTCTTCCTAGTTTTAGTGTAACATGTTGGGCATTTCATTTTTTGTAGTACCTTTTCGGGTGAGACAAGTGCAGAAAATGACAGTGCGTAAGTGGTGATTGGCCACATATTTACAGCGTACTATATACCGACAAACACATGGTGCGCAAAAAATGTGAAAACAACAAATCCCCCCCCCCCGATTCCATTTTTTTTTTCAGAATTACGATGATGATAACTTATGTATTTATGAAATGACGGCGTGGACCACGGCAAAGTTGATGTATGACGAAGAACCTACTCCCTCTATGGGAGAACTGCTGTATGTTATAGAAGAACGACTTAAATCATATAAGGTATGTAATTGTGTGGCAACGTTATGTTTAATGCAATACAATACAAATTAAAGGGCGGTAGTCGTCGCGCCGCGCATGCGCGAGATATATGGGTCTCATATAAACAAAAATGGCGACATAGACTACAAACATAGACTCCACGAGTACAAACTGAGACGTTAGCAAGCTTTAATTAGGTTTTTTAGGTGATTGGAAGGTATCGAGGAGTAACCGGCGTTTATTAGTGCAAGTCGCGCTTAGGTCAAACCTTATATTTATGATTTACTTTAGAAGAACGCATTGGATTGTTGGAAAATCAATGGTCATCAACTCAAATGTCGCACATGCGCAGAGCGACGACCACCGCCCTTTGAATGTCACGTCACATACGACAGCTAGTAACATTTCCGACTTGTATTACGGCAAACTGGAACTGTTAGCTGGTCATACATAACCAGAACATAGACACGATTAACTGGTAAATCGGACATTTTGAAATATACTACACCTCACAATAGACCATTTGCTAGTTTCATTTATGTCAGATTATGTCATAATTGTCTGCCATTTTGTCGTCCTTGTTCAGTTGATTGTTATAAGTCATCTAGGACAATTCTCTAAGTATTAATTTGATAAAACACTGAGTTTTCGCAGATAAACGTTCGACGTTCTATCGGTGAACTCTGCAAATGTGAAGTAGCTTTGGATAAACGTGGGTCTATAATGATGCACGTCGTGCAAGGACTTCCAACGAGCCTGCAGCGCTGTAATCAAACCGAACAACATATCACGTGAACTTGAAACCCAACTGTCGTACATTCCACTATTTAAAGTGGCGAGAGTGGGGTGTATGTTAACGTACGAGCAGTGGTACGATAACAATCGGGTTTGAGGAAGCTTACCGGATTAAAGAGTATTGTTTAAAAAAAACAATAACGAGTCAAAGATTGGTGTAACTACCTGTAATAAACCCGCGATGGTATTTGTGTGCGTATGGAACACCAATGATTTGAATCAACGAACGAACGAACTGTGTGGATGCATTGCCACTCCACTGAATACACAAAGCTGGTGATTTGTGGTTTAATATATCATGTAATCTACTATGATGCGTAGAAAAATCAGGTGCGATTTCGTTCGGTCTTTGGCCCACTGTTCTTCTTTACACAAAAAATAGTAACACACGTACATTTTACCAACACACACACACACTTTGCTGCGGACAAAACACCTTAAAACTTAACGGCCTTGTATCTGTCCTTTAAGTATCAATGAGATGCGGTCAATTAATGTTCACTTTCCAATTTTCTCATCGGACGATGAGAACGTATTTGAATAGATTCACATGTTTTTCACGTCCAATGCAAATCGCAATAATCAGGCTGGTATGAGTCCGTGCTTCTCACGATTTGAGCATGCCAAGCTTACACTTGAAATCAAAACATTATAGATAATATAATGTGCACGATAACGAGTAAACAAGTTTTAAAAATTACGTCATTTAATAGTATCTCTAAACCTCCCAAGTTACTTTATTATAATAACATTTCTCAGACTCATGTTGTTTACAATTAAGACACATATATATTATACTCTCGACCGAAGAAAATAATAAATGCGTTGATTGTATCACAAACACTTCATTATTTCAAATGAGACGTAATTATGGAATAAGATTATGTCTTATGTTCATGTACAGCAAAGTTTAGCCGTGGTTCCAATGACTTAGATGCGATTAAGTTACATGAATGTGGTCTAAATATTTATGTGTCGCAAGAATATATACAACCATGGTAAAATCATTGGTTGATATGTTTTACGGTCATAATCGTATGCGAAGTGTCTGGGATTCATTGCATTGAATCTAAATCAAATGCTCTGTAGTGCATTGATTGAGTAACAAATGCACTTATGTACTACATTTCCTTTCAGGGAAGAACCCCAAAGAAGATACCACCTAAAAATTTACCGCTTGATGTACCATCACAGGTGAGCTTAGTTTGAATGTGGTAAGTCTGCATGTATGTTAATGATATTAGATATAACATTGCATGTCGATTTATTTTCAATTATTATACATATGTCACCGTAACGCCATAAGTTACAGCGTGCCGTGATTTTGCGGCATTTTACGGTGTATTATCATAGTACCATATTAGGAAATGCGAATTCCAAATGAGGAATGATTACGCGCGTAAGCGTCCTCTAATAATAAAAACAAACATGGCTGCCACCAGAGTTTGACCGGACTCCATACAAAGTAGTTCGCTGATTCTGTTCAAAACGTTTTGGATTTCGGTATTCCCATGGTACATCCCTGGAAGGAAAAGATGTATAATCATAAGGTTATTACGAGAATACCTTAAAGTATCACTCCACTCGGACAGTACGCCGCACATCGACCTCCGCGCGCGTCGGTCGATACTCCAGTTGTACTGTCTTCGTGCATACTTTGAGGTATTCTCGTAATAACCTCATATTATATATAGCACACGCGTAAATAAGAAAAAGAACATTCTCGGTATTTTCAGCCTATCGAATTCTCGTATGAAGTGTTGAGACTTGTATGCAAAACTTCGATATGCACAGCGTCAACACATTATGCAATGCTGTTTTTTTATGAAATATTTGCAGTTATGTCAAAATATAACATATGGAGCATATAGAGTGATCAAACATTTTAAGTCGTTCACATTTGGTAAGGTAAACTAACTAGTAAGCACATGAAACATTCAAATCGGTTCACAAATTATTTATGCTAATTACTTGTGCAGACGTATGGACGGACAGTAACCATAATACAGAAAGTTACGATTACCAGATTGCTAAGTTATACCTCACTAAGGGCAAAAATATAAAATATCGGGTCGCGTTTTTTTTTTTTCGTTTTTTTTTCTTTTAATAGGCCTAAATATTAAAAACTCACCATTTTAAGCAGTAAAAAAGTGTTTCCTCTAAAAATTAAGGAATCCGGACTGTTGTTTGATCCGCAGAGTCCCCGTAAATGGCGACTTTGAACCTCGGGTTGATCTGTATTTCTCTGACATGTTCCGAATACTATGAAGTCCATATACCTTGGCTATTTACGATACCCTTAGTTTTCACGAATTTAAAAAGAAATCCGACCGACCGACACAATTTTTAAATTTTTCGACTTGAGGGCAACATACGGTTTTTTTGGCCTAATGTGAACCAAGTCCATGTACATTTACAAGTACAAAAACAATTTAAACCTCTCTTTGTCAGTCCATCACTCTACTGACAAAGCAATCCGCTCCCTGCACGATGACCAGATATATATTATCAATTACCCATCATAAAAGCTTTCTCTTGACATTCCCCCCTGTGACTTCTCATCTTTAAAAGGCAGGTCTGTGGATTATGGCATAACTTCATTATTGGATCATTATCGAGTTTCTCTGGAAACGCTTGCTCTGTATTAGTCTATTACAATGTAGATGTCTCTACTTTATCCTGCAATCAATTTACGATGTTAAATCTGATCGCTTTTGATGCCAGGCTGTCGTTCAACTCTATCAAGGCTATCTGTTCTTATTGTGTAGTGGGTGGCTTATTAAATTCCTTTTTTATGAATTACATGACAACGCCAGTTCATTTTAAATCTAAGCATGTGAATACTGTTTGCGGGACCATAACTTAAATAGTTTGAGTTTTTTATAGTAATAGTGAAAAAGTACTAAATCACTGAATAGTGTTAAGGCGCTCTGTTCGCCCACTTCCAGATGCGGTACCTTAAAAAGTGAAAACAATTTAAATAGTTCATAAATAATCAATTCCAACATTAAACAAATCAAAGTCATTGACATACTTGTACGCTCCTAGTATGTTCTAAAAAGTTTATAAAAAATACATGGAATTAGGTCAAACCAGTATATACACGTAAGTAACACAAGGAACACCGGTTTCTGAATCGCCCCCATACATCATTAAATAATTCTGTGTTATTTATTTGTACATGTTCCGAAGGAGACACGTGTGCAAACACTATAATAAATACTGTTTATCTACATGCTGTTTAGTTACAGCTTTAATTATATAGTAGTTTTTTGACATATGAAGGTTGTCGCATACGACTTGTTTACCACTTCCGTGTGACTGAGAATGTTCTAGAACCGTACTGTGTCTGGGTGTAATTTTTAGAAACTGGTTGAATAGGTAATAGGACACTGTAGAAGGCAATAGAAGGTAATGGAACATTCTAGAAATTTGTAGTAAGTTCAAGACTCATTATGTATGCTGATGTAATGGTCTATTTATAGACAGTGCGGGTATATATAGAGGAGTTGTTCAGCACTGAGATCAGATCGGAGATCTCATTGAATTGTATTGGAGTTTAAGTATCTAGTTATTGGAGTAGTGGTGTTCTACCGCGTTATTATACTTGATGTTTGCAGAGTATAATAATACCAGTACCAGTTGAAACCTCATCTGTTGGCTCCGTGTTCGTATTTTATCATCGCCGCCAGGGAAGTCTTTTTGTTACTGTTGCCATTTTGGTATTTGAACCATCACACCTGTACTATACCAATTACAGTAATATTACGTTGCGTGTGACAAAGGTCTTTTTTATGGAATTCGTATAGGTATATCTAATTATTGTACGAGAAAAACAACATATCTGGCATATCAGTACGTATTTAAATAATTACTATATGAAACAGACAAGAATTAATATTTTTATCTTCAGATGCTTACCAATTATCTTCATTTAACTTGACGTCATTTCATTGGTTACAGGATATTGCTTGATCATTTTAAAAATCAATACGGCAACTCCACTAGCCACCTGTTGATATGCAAAATAGTATATATCTTTGTTTTCAATCTGACATCAATTGATCAATAAAATGCGTACAGATGTTTTCACGTTTTTTTAAAGTTTTTAGATTTGGAATATATAAGTCATACTTCGGAATTATTGTTAAATTTACGTATTTTAAATATTTTACGTATTTAAACATGGTTATGCAAAATTTCTGTAAGTTTATCATAATGTATTCTACATTTTTCAAAAATACAATTGTGATATCTGTTATTAATTTCACACTTCTCGTTCGAATCGTCAATTAAAAAAAGTTATTTATTTAGCAGTCACGTAACATAAAAATCCATCTAACATAACGTCGATTGGAGTCAGTGAGAGTTACGGGCTTTAATAAAGTACATGATTTGGTGTGGTTTCAAACAAGTTCTATAAAATAATTTTTAGTCATATGTCTATATGTTTAAATGATGGAAAATTGTAACACTATTGGCTCTTACCGATTCTGACAACATAATCGATGGCAAACAAATTGACAAATAACATGACTATTGAATGTTACGATCTCGTAAAAGCAGTACAACTAAAATACCAATGGGTGTTATATAGTGATCCACTGACAGTAGTTGCTAACTCGTTATATGCAGTGTTATATTCCTTCGCGGATAACAAGACTTATAACAAATGATGATAAAATCCCCTTGGAGGGTACATAATACGTATCAAGTATTGTATTGTAAATAGGTATATTGAGTGTTATATATTGAATGTCGCATGTGTGGCAAAGCGAAGACTGATTACACGTGCTTGTCATCGAATTGGTGTAATTAAGAAGATTTATCTCACCCGTATAGTAGATTACTCATGGTTTTGAAAGGTTTTCGAGGAAAGTGTTGTCATTGACAGTGACACTAAGGGCTTTTGCTCTGTTTCTGACACAGCATGAAAGCTGAATATATTACATCAGTTTTGCTCAACTATCGTCATTATCGTGTTTTACACTGATAAATCAAAATAATTTCGTGACCTCGCCATGACGTCTGTTTGCTATGGAACTGATTTTCACCAGTGATGCTATGGATCATGTAGCACGATCGAAGATTACCCCCTCACAGGTGAACATATATCTCCCATCATTGGGTCATGTTGTTAACATATGTTCAAGACTTTTTGAATCGCCATTAACCATGGCAACTTAAAATTTCATTCATGGTAAATGACCTGTTTAGTTTATTCATTGTTAATAAATTTGTTTGTTTGTAAATTTTGACATATGCGCGCTGGTTCACCGTGTTTGTCTCAGCGTTAGCGACGAACATGCCCGCCTGAAATGCAGCAAAAATAACAAAATTCAAAGCTTGTCAAAATAAAAACAATACACTAGGATTTACAGATATTTCTTTCATATCGACATGTCAACTTTCTTTAAGTGTATTTTAGTATCGCTATCAAATGTTAAACATGAATATTCAGAACTATCTGGCTTATGTAATTTGCATATCAGTTATTGAATGACATAATACTTTGCATATTAATAGTGCAATACCGGTCGCCCGGCACTTTATAATTATCGTAAACTTATAGGTTTACGATTCTGAAACAGATCTGTTGCATTTGTATCCAGTGGAACACTATATGAGCATAGAAGACGGCATTATATATTTTGTTTTGCTCATTTGCATATCGGTAGTAAAAATATATATTCCATTATATTTTCAGTGGCGTAATTATTTAAACTGCAGTAAAAATATAAGTCATGATTTTGCGGTTTTTATTTTTTTATTGATAGAAATTTATAATTCATGTGTTCAGTTAGCATGTATCAGACAGAATTGCAATTGTGTTACAAACTCAACACAAAGAAGTGTGTGACGATTCAACATTCTACAAGTATCTATCAAGATAATACCGGGTAATACAATAAAACAAGTGGGACAAGGTACGAATGTAAACACCAACATTTTACATGTGTTATTTTTTGCAGGTGTTACTTGATGCGATTCGGGAATCCGATGAAGAGTCAGTTAGATTATTAATCAGCCATGGCGTAGATGTGAACACAGTTGAAAGAGTACGGTTGACATATTTAACTTCATTTATGTTTGAGGTCAATTATTTCCGTTGTATTTCATGTATTTTCGTTGACAGTGCCATGTAGCAATTGTGATTTGATTCAAGGAAACGTACGCACAGGTTTGGCAAAAGCACATCTCTCGCCATATTAAGTAAATGTGATAATGACAAATTTGCATAAAGCAATTACATGCAAAGAAAGTCAGGATTGTCATGCTTTTTGTCGGCCAGGTGGACTAGCACCTTGACTAAATTTCGAAATTTGCATACGATCTTAGCAGGAGTTTCAAACAACCAAGATCAGTAAACAAAAGGAAGTTAGTTTCTGTTCTATTTTGCGTTGCTCAAACGATTATAAACTGTTGTTAATATTCCTATCTGTACTTATTTCAGCAAGTCCTTTTGAAGGTTGTTCTCTATGAAGTAGATCATAAGATTGTCTTTTTGGCCATTTTTTGAATAATTCACTATTGATTACTAGAGAAGACATATTTACGTGTCTCGTACTTTAACTCGAAAAAAAATTGTTACAAGAGTGCGTTTATGGTTGTTAGGAAATTCTAATAATTAACATTAAATTTCATGAAATGTGTCTTTTATTAATATTTTCGACTGGAAAAGGTTGATGTACATACGTGGTTGTACCCTTTTTAAAACAAAAACGTATGAACATTAAGCCTAATGAACCGACTTTGTACTAACTGACTGTTATTCTATGCTTTCGGATATTCTATACTTCAGGATAGTAAAAGTGGTAGACAGCATTCTGTCCTGATTACTGCTATAACACTAGAGCAAACACAGATTGCCAAATTGCTCATAGAAAATGGTGCTGAAGTGGACACGGTTTTTCAGGTGACGTTACAACGCCATCTATCTGTATTTATTGTTGATGAAATAAGGCACGAAGGACATTGCATTGTATTTGAGCTGTTTTAATGTCACGTGATTCATTCAGCATCGTTAAGTAATGATATACAGAGTAGATTTGAATTTGACATCGTCTGAATATAATTGTAGTTGAGATAGAAATTACAAGCGTCGGGTTTTTTAGTTTTGCGCAATTTTTATTAAAAGTCATATGATACCAATTATGTTTACAGAATTACGATCCTACCGAAAACGTGTCCTATGACGTCACTGCATTGGAAGCTGCGCAAACCATGCATCAAGCTTTCCCGGATATCGGTATGGAGAAGATCATTGAGATAATAAAGGGACACATTAAAGGGAAAAAGGTTAATACCAAAATATTCTAGGCAATTTTAAACTATTACAATGTATTACCATAGTTCTTGAAGGGCTCGAGCGGGCGCTGTATTTTTTATTATATAAATTGTATTTTACTTACCAGTTCATACATTCGCTCTTTTCATCAATTGTTACCTCTTATCTATTATTTCAGGGTAAACCAAAAATTATAATCGCCTACAATACCCCACTAACTGTGAGTATCGTTTTTGATTACAAAATATGAAATTATCATTATTTGTTCATTATTTATTAGTTAAGCGGGAGGGTCGTCACATGGGTATGCGCGGGAATTGAGTCCCAAGCGCCGCTAAAAACGTAAAGGCTTATGGGTAGACGCTTGTTTGTAAACAATGACACACTATAGCCATGTCATGGCAGGTGACGACTCCCCCGCTTTAAAGTGACACCATTGGATGATTGGGATGCTTTATATTGTAGTTGGGATATACAATATTAGTTGCACTATGGGTAGAAACAACAAACTCAAAAAACATTTGTGGTTAGCTATTTGTAAACCGACATTTGACTAAACAGATTGTCGGGGATGAAAAAACAGTTTGATAGTGTCAACAAAAGCGAATAATACATTTCACCCAGCATTTTTAATCGGCGCACTTCGACAATCGGATAGTGATACCTTTTATATTTTAATCTAATTGAGCCAAAATAAAGTAGTGTTCAAACATAACACACACTGACTCTAAGAAAGCAATAAACATTGTAACTAATGATTATGTAATTGTGGTTGACGTTTATAATAACTTCAAATGTAAGAAGTCACACTAATCGCCGCCCAGTGATGATGAAATGACGTTACTGCTTTTACGACAAATCCTTATTATTTTACCGGCAGTACATTTGATAAGCTTCTAATTAGTGTTAAATAGTCAAACATTGTCTGATCTGTCGGTTATTTAGGTGAATGAGTTTTTACTTCCTCAGCTGGAGGACAGACATGCGATTGAGCGCAAGTTTGACGATCATCTTCGCTTCTTTTTCAAATGTGTTGTAATATGTAGTGAAACATCCACACTATAAGCTTGTAGGCGTAAGTCTTTAAAATAATCACCAAAACTCTAAACAACATTGGACAATTATTATTTTATACCGTGTCATATTTGCTTTTCTGTTATGAATAGTGCTCTAACATAGTTCCGAAATCACAATATAAGAAATGTCCAATACTTAACCAATAAACAATAACAAACACAAATATGGTAAAATTGTTGTGCTCTTTTCGAAAGTCGTAATTTAGTTGTATAACTCGGAATTGAAACAATATTATCATTTCAAAGTGTGTATGCAACTTTAAAATATTTTTTCCGTATTCAGTTGCGGCACAGAGGTTCCAATGTTATACAGCCAATAGAACTACCTATACCAACTATACGATTCGAGAATGTCGATGACCCAGAAGATGTAGTGGAACTAGAAGACACTGGTACATCAAAACACAACAACATTGATACATCATGTACAAACAAAAAACGAGATGAAACTATTTCAACGTTTTCGAGAACTTGTACAGTGCTGTGAGACTTTTGATTCGAATTTATGAGGTAACTTACGATGATGTATCAATGTAGGAAAGAATGAACAGACATAAAGCAGAGACGGTGTACGAATACCGTGTAGCTGGTATACCGGTAAAGATTGATTTCAATACAATCGAAACACACTTATGCTGTGCTACACCAACACAGAAACATCTCCTAATAGATTCAGTTAACAAATCGCGCGAGAAGATCACGTGACTATGACGGTATCAGATCAAACGTGGACCACGTGGTGATGCAATAAAGCTGAATAGAAATAATGCAGTGAGACGACTTTTCTTGTGTGAGATTTATACCACATTTCATGATGTATTAAGTAATGTACTGACAAACATCCATACTAATAAAAGTCACGTGGTTGTGCATACAGAAAATAATATGCACCACTTGTAGTAGTGTACACGTGTTTGCGTATTCACCTTTAAACTGCATCACAAGTATTACGTCAGGAGTTTTATATCGACGACGTTCACTGTGACGAAGGCAAATAAATACACTCTCTGTTCTGAATATTGAAATATAAATCTACTTGAGATCCTACAACATGGCGACGAGGATGGGATGGACAACGTGCGTGAAACTGTTGAAGGTATATTTTATTGCACATGATATCCAAGACGAGAAAAGAAAAAGAATTCGCGCTATATACAGTTGGGGAAAAAGTCACTGATATTTCAAAATCACGATCATGACGATTATCCACAGGCAATCACCATAATAAATAGGTACTATCCAAGAGTGATAAATCGTATGAGGTGTATATTTCCCGAAGTGCAGCACAGAAACCTGACGATTTTCTAACCAGCTATTGTATCCTTCTTCGACAATTTTCACAGACCTGTGAATTCCCTGATGAGACTGAAGAAATAAAATCCCAAACTGCTTTACCGTGTTCGTGACGGCCGTGCATTTAAAATTTAAAAAAGACAAAAGGAGAAGTTCTAATCAATTGGACAAAGTCAGGGGTGAAAGTAGTAAGAAATGTGGTGGTTGATTTCCGCATACTGATTAGTGACCAGCTAAAAATAAAACAATTATGAAGTGACAGAATGAAAATACATTTTGCCAATATCTGTAGTAAGCAAGTAAAATAACAAGAAGAGTAAATATTGCTGGGAAAAAAAGCATGATATAGATGGACAATCTGCGAACCATGGAAACTTGTACCTTGAAACTGCGTTCCTTATTTCTAGTAATGTACATCGACGTACTGAAATTGTGGAAAATTGCTAATATGTTTGATTGATTCCGGAGCAGGTATGAATATACTAAATGAAAAAAAAACAATAATCAACAATTTATATACGTTCTGCTGCAAACAAAATATTTGCTTATAACTCGAAATTTTTTCCAATACGAGGTGAAATAAGATCATCAGTTCATTCGTGTGTGAAAAATCAGTCCAATATTGTAGATTTCTGCATAGTCAAACGATCCGTTAGTAATATTCTTGGTTTTGACGCAATAGTCAATCTGTGTTTATTACGTATTAACACCAATGTCGTGTCATCCGCTACACCATCTTCCGTGGCTGAGTTATTTGTTAGTAAATACTCGTATTAGTTCATTGGCATTGAACAACTGCGAAAGAAGAAATCTGCGTGAACAAGATGATCAATAACTGGATAAACTAGAAAAACATAATTGAAAGAGCTAAAGGTACTACATCATAGTTTTTTCTTGATGTAGTTCTTTCAAAGAATAAAGTAATCTACGAAGACATGAGAGCTGTTCATACTACTAGGAAGAGAACGCCACCATATACCGACAATAGGTGATTTTCCGTACAATTGCGTGATCTCGCGAGATGCATGAAAGACGCGCGTCGAACGTCTGCCGCAAAAATCGAACGATTTGATTTTGAACTTGAATTTCCTTATTTCGTAGCTCACACCGACCGGCCGATCTTTGACAGAGGAATATTGCTTCCGAATACCCTTACTTAATCGAAATTGCCTAATCATCAAATGTGAACAGCACATTATTAAGCATGGAAATGTCCCCCAAAATACTTTCGCGTTTGTCGAATCCCACGCGATGTTTGACGCGACTACGACGCTATGACCTTTGTTTGTCCTGTTTTTACGTTCGATTTCACGCATAACGCGTGATTCTCGCAGTGTACGCAAAATGGTCTATTGAATATTTATGTGTGAGCCCATTTGAGCTTTAGTGTTCAGTAAATAGATCTTAACAATCGATATCACCAAAAAGAAATGGACTCTGACTCTGACCACGTTTATTACACTCGGGTTTATATCACTACAAAACAATACAGATTGGTATAAACTCAGCACCAGAAATCTTCCAGAAGGCGGTTGCTGGCACGTTACAGGGTATACAGGTGCTAGAACTGTCTCTCAAAAATATTTGTGTTAGATTGACTATTACAACAACCTGAAAGTTGTTCTCCTGAGGTTGAAATAATATAATGTCATTGCCAATAAATAGAAGTGTGATTTCAATGCGCGAGAGATCACAGATTATAAGAAAGTGTCAGTTTTGCTAGAAATTAGTGAACCACAAAATGAAATGCAAGTGCCTTGGTATTTTACAATATACTGCGAAACTTATATATACTAAACGTTGCTACCATATCATCACGAGTGCGAAAACGTACTCAAAGGGGTGCGCCATGGAAATAGAACTCTTCACAACAAAGGTGTTTTTATATACTAAAATTCTAAAATTGCTAGTAAGTGTTGAAATATCATCGCAGATTCATGTTCTATTTGGGTACCACATTAACACACAATACAATAAGATAATTAGATGAATATAATAGCAAACGTAAACTGAAGCCGGAAGCTGTTATAGTCAAACAGAGTGGGGGGGGGGGGTGTATTCTCAACTATATATGTATATGAAACACCTTTTGTCGTGGTTACAAAATAGACATTCGTGCAAGGAATCTTCCACAAACCTCATTGCAAACCTATTGCAACAAATGAGCAAATATGCCTCCACAGAAAACCATACAGATTTAAAATATTATATAGTCCTAGAACAAAGCAAATCACACATCCATATTTGTTGTAACGCAGTACCCGATGCAATGGCACTGGACGAAATAAAAACAGTCGCTGCTAAAAATGAAACACGAGCAGAATTGTCTCAAGTGTTAAGAACACGTCGATGGTTGAAAACAGATAAGGCAATTGAGGTCATTGCTGTCGGCTATCGTTTGCTTATCCGCCAGATATTGCAATGGAAAGCAGTGAAGATAAACTCACTAAGCACAAGCTGAAATACCACCTTCGTCTCAATTTGTGCCTCAAATCAACACGGATTACGCACGAACCACAATATCTGAATGGTTGTTAGGCTTGTTACCTAAGAAATAAACTTATTGACCTCCTTTCCATGACCCGTGTCATCAACGAAATTGTTATACTTTAGTTTGATTATTTTTAATACAGTTGTATTCGTACTTTCATTCCTTCTTCCATTTGTTGATATTTGATGTAGATTTATAGTACAATTTATTCACTTTCATTATTGGAATATGAGTAGAAACACAGAAACACCAAGATTTGCATCCGAAAAGGAAATGGTTGTAGTTTGTACACCTATTTGTATATTGGCCTTTAGCTTGTATCACCCGCATTACGTCATAAGATCCATCCAGACAACATTCACTGTGCCACACGTGAATAAATATGTTTGGTTCTGAATTTTTAAATATCAGTGTTTTTATCTACTTTGATTTGTGTACCAGAAAACACGTTAGTATTTACCCCTAATGTCGTGTCGTCCGCTACATATACAATCAGACATGCAATATCACTCTTTTAACTTCTCCTTCTAAATATCACACGAAACACATGAAGTTTTGAATCCCAGAGAAACCAGCAGATGTGTGTTGGGTTTATTTGAAGACTGTTATGCTTACACGCACTAAAACTCTCAGTCGAACATGCCAATCAAAACAGTATTCCAACTATTAACATTTATTTGTATTTGTATTTACGTTGAGGGGTTTCACATCACAAAAATAGTCACATAACAAGCAACGTCGCATTTTAAAATGTGTATTTATTATCTAAAAATGTCCACCAATGTAAACCATAATATAATACATGTATAACCATATAGTTGTTTAAGAATGTATTTTAGAGGATTATTTCTGCAAATTTGATTTCAAATACATGTAATTTAAAAGTATGCCAATTCGCATCAGTTGCGTTCGGCATCAACATTCGTATTCACCACAGAGCCACAGTTTAGGTTTTAAAATAACCTCTGTCTCAAAAATGAGAAGGCCATAGCTATTATCCCTTGTTGTTCTATGCCAAACATACGCATGTGAACCTGATCATTTGCCAATGACACGAGGACACGTGTGTAAGCGTATATTTAACTTGTTGGTTGTTTTTTTCCGTGTAGTTATATTGTATAGTAAAAATCATGGACACATAATGTGAGCACGACTATTGACATTTTATCCCTAAAATGAAGCCAGTTACGGTGGGGTTATGTGCCAATATCAAAGAAACTAGGTATTTTCTCCATTGATTTGTTTTGTATTTGCAGTAGGCAATGCCTTGCGTTCAGTAAGCAGTTAAATTAATAATACTCTAATAATAAAAAAACATGTCTGTCACAAGTTCGCTGATTCTGTCCTAAACGTTTTGGGCGTCGCCATTCCCGCGCTGTACTGACTTTGTGCATACTTCGGAAGTATCCTCGTAATAACCTCATATTATTATCAACATTATTGTTTTTAAGTTTTTTGTTTTGTTTTAATGTAATTTTCTTTATTTTTCCTTAATGAATGAAACAATCTTGTCTTGTGCTTTGCCATATCACCAAGTATTATTAGTTTCTGATGCGTTATCATCTCGATATCACTGCTGAACATTCATGAAAATGTAACATATTTAATATTAAACCTATAAAATGTCTAAAAATGTCTATATCTTACACAATTAGTGACAGAATAATACATAACAAAATACATAATGTAACTGCAACTACATTTCATTAGACTATATTTCATAAGATTGGTTCTGATAATAACGACGTATATGCATGTTAATGTTCCTCCATATTTGTCTGCATCTCCAAAGAGTGTTCTGTAGTAGTTACTGATATGTAGGGTATGGTACAATATCTGACGTTGGTGGCAGTTTGCCTGTCACAGCTTCGCGCCTCATTGCTATGTCTTATACCATACGCAAAATATATAATCAAACCTAGAGGAAAATGATAACGCGTCGTATTGATAAATATCAACACTAGATATTATTACAATCAATAACATTAGATAAGATATAATCATTCGTCTGTATAGCAGTGATATTCGGATCAACTTCAACGTCATAGATTCCATGTGGGCTATACAAGTGTAATTCTCATATCGGCAGTACTCACCTACGCAAATCCAACTAATAAATTGTACCCATACCACAAAAGGGGTTTTCATCATTAAAAACGAATTAGATAATATACTCAGAGTTGGTACAAGTGGAACAAACGGCACCTAGACAAAAACGATCAGTCAGAAAAAAAGGTATTTTAATTTTAATTTCGCTACAACCCTATTTTGCAAAAAAAATAAGAAAAATGTTTGTCTCATGAACAAAATGATCGGGCAAACAAGGATTGGTACATATGGAGTGTCATGGTTGTAACGGGTTACCTGTATCACCGGTGACGATTGTTTTACCGAATATATATATATATATATATATATATATATATATATATATATATATAT